GAGAGAGAGAGAGAGAGAGAGAGAGAGAGAGAGAGAGAGAGAGAGAGAGAGAGAGAGAGAGAGAGAGAGAGAGAGAGAGACTACGAATTGCTCCATCTAGTCCATTGCATACCTTGACGACTCTGTGATGTACCCAGCCTGGATCTCAGCCTGGTTCATCATCAGGGTGAATCGTAAATTCCAACCCTTGGGGAGAAACTGCTCCCCCCTCTGCTCCTGTGCACTACAGGTAGTTGTCGTACGATGAAAGTTTTTCGCCCTTCCTTCAACGATTCCCCCACCTTCTCCTGAACACTACTGGTCTTCACCCGAATGGAACGTATGGCAATTATCACTATATCGAGACTGGAAGTTGCCTCTAATTCAGCTTCAATGACTGCACGTTCTATTCAGCCGGGAGGGCGGGAGGAGGAGACGGTAGTTGTCGCATGATCAAACTTCAAAGCTTTTTTCTCCTTCCCTCCCTTCAAACATGTAGAGACGACTCTCCTATCTTCTCCCACTGCTTCTGTGTGCTCTAGTTGTTGTAGGATCGAAGTTTTTCTCCCTCCCCTGAAGAATGTACAGAGGACTTCAACTTATCTCCCCATCACCTCGCTCCCTTCACACATGTAGAGAGGACTCTCCTACCTTGTCCCGCTGCTACTAGTCTGCTAGGACTCTCCTACCTTCTACCACTGCTAGACTCTCCTACCTTCTACCACTCCTGTGTGCTTTAGTTGTTATACAACTGAAGCTTTTCTCCCTCCCTGTGGAGCATGTACAGGCAGGACTTCAACCTGTCTCCCCATCACCGGTCCTACGAGGCTACGGGCTATATACATGAACTACACAGACAGCTATGCTTTGGACTTGAAAAAAAAAGCGACACTGACGAAAACGACGAACGAAGAAGAAATCGAAACGAAAGAATGCATAACTAACACAACAGGATGGTATTGGCAGTTGCACCAATTTGGTCTTGCCCCGTGTCAATTTTGCTGGCAGATTAAATTTGATTGATTGCTCGCAGAGACCAGCGATCAGACAAGCGCAGAAGGAGAAAAAGGTGAAAAAAAAAGCGAACCTGAAGTCGCACAAGCTTTGCCATTCGGAAAGCCCTACTATTTCCTCCACCATCGCCTTGGCCAATCGCATCGCTGCCTCCCGCTTCCTCTTGGTCGTACGTGCTCAAGATCTTCCGCAGACCTTCGCATTCTCTCTCCAGCGATGTTGCCTGACAAATAACATCACAGCGAGTAAGAAAGTCAGTCGGACCTTCACATTCTCTCTCCAGCGATGCCGCCTGATAAGCAACATCACACCCGTGCATTGGGTCCGAAAGTCAGTCGGGAGCATACCTTCGCATTCTCTCTCCAGCGATGCCGCCTGACAAACAACATCGCACCCATGTATCGGGTCCGAAAGTCAGTCAGGAGCAGACCTTCGCATTCTCTCTCCAGCGATGTATCGGGTCAAAAGTCAGGAGAAAATTTTCATTTTTCTCTCACACGAATATGCAGGCCCGCCTTTACTTAAGGTGGGCATGAGGCGTGCTGGGGGCCTGGGCCCAGAACATCTGTGTGCCCGAGGAGGGACTTGCGAGGGCTCAATCCTCGCACTTAGCAGCACAACACACTACTCTGTACCTATGGCCAAACTTCCTGTGACCTGTGCTCCAGCTGCTGATTAAAGCAGAATTTGATTAATTAATTTAATTCATTAATTTCATTTAGTTTTTCTTTTTTTTTTAAAGCAGATTCGGGTGGCACATCTGTTAGAAGATAACACAGGTGTCCACAGATGAGCTCAACGAGAAGAGAAATCTCGTGTGGGGCAAAAGGGCAGAAGCTCATTTGATTTTGACTTCCAGTACGGATACAAACTGTGCGAGCATGGGGGGGGGGAAAAGAGGGTTAGTGATTAAGGCAGGCTGCCGATGCTCAGAGTGGAAGCACCCGCAAGTGGCGACACATAAAAACAGATGAAATTCCATGCCATTTCAAGAACACGCTTCCGCTTGGCGGAACTTACCTTACACTTGGACATCGTAAGTTTTGAAATCCCCTCCTCAACCGCCGCTTTACACGCCTCCAACTCGCTTTCTGCATCTCGCCTTGCAGCTTCTGCATTCGCCAATGCTGTCTCCAGACGAGCCACCTCCGCCGCCATCTCCCCACACTTCGATGTTGTGCTAATGACCTCCCTGTACCCATACCACCACCATCACATCTCAGAACCTCTCTCTCTCTCTCTCTCTCTCTCTCTCTCTCTCTCTCTCTCTCTCTCTCTCTCTCTCTCTCCTTGAAGGGTTTTTTTTTCTGACTTAGTCGGATACGTGGACCAATCAGGCTACACTCTAAGGGCCAGATTCCACTAGCCCCTATTGTTCATTTCTGACCGTTGATCTTCGTAATCGAGGGTGAAAAATGAATAATCCAGGGTAGTGGGATCTGACCCTAAGTCACCGACCTATCAGTTACTTCTCAGCTTCCTTTCTTCCCCCCTTCCCCCCAACCCTCCTCCCCCTCCTTCCTCTCCAAGGTAATCTTCCATCACACATTGAAAGTTCCCAAACAGAAAAAGTTGAAAAATGCAAGGATTTCTGCCCCACCTCCCCTTATTTTCCATCCACCTCTTTTCCTCCTGCTCCTCCTCTTCCCCCGCCGCCTCCTCTTCACCCGAATAGAACGCCCGGTCATTATAGCTGTATTTGGGGCAACTTCCAGTCCAGATACAGCAATAATTACCGGGTGTTCTATTCGGGTGAAGACGGTAGCCGGAAATGTCTCTGTTTTCCCCCCCCCCCCCGTTAGTGACTATATTAGGCCAACAGAACCCCCTTTCGAACATCTGCCAGAAACTGGCATCGTACCGCGCCTCGTTAGGCTTGGCAGGCCGGGTACAGAGGTACCGGTCGATTAAATGAAGTGGAAAAGGGCATCTTCCAGCCCCCCCCCCCCACCCCCCCCTCCTATGCTCTGACAGCAAAGGTTGATTGGCATGCTCCAACAGAAGACCAGATGATGCTGTGGCAATATTTAACCACCAGTACCTCTTATAGCCTCCTTTTTCTGATGCGCAATTTTGTCTGCCCGGTAATTTCTAAACCAGTGCAGGCAACGACTTTGGTACATCCTTTTTGGTCCTGTTGGTTCACCTGGCACCCTCCTTGGTACAGCCTTTTTGGTCCTGTTGGTTCACCTTGCACCCTCTTTGGTACATCCTTTTTGGTCCTGTTGCTTCACCTGGCACCCTCTCTGGTACAGCCTTTTTGGTCCTGTTGGTTCACCTGGCAGCCTCTTTGGTCCTATTGGTTCACCGGGCCGTCTCTTTGGTCCAGCCTCTTTGATCATGTTGGTTCACCTGGCAGCCTCTTTGGTCCTATTGGTTCACCTGGCAGCCTCTTTGGTCCTATTGGTTCACCGTGCCGTYTCTTTGGTCCAGCCTCTTTGATCATGTTGGTTCACCTGGCAGCCTCTTTGGAGTCTGGACCTATTGGTTCACCTGGCACCCTCTTTGGTCCAGCCTCTTTGGTCCAGCCACTTTGGTCCAGTCTCTTTGGTCCTGTTGGTTCACCTGGCAGCCTCTTAGGTCCTGTTGGCTCAGCAGGCTGCTGGTAATTTTCAAACCAGAGCAGGCAGCAGGTGAACCAACAGCTTGCAGCCTCCTACCGAGACCTGCGAGCCTATTTGGTGCAGTAAGCGGAGCCTTTCCGCGGCACCGGGGGTACAAGCAGGTGTGCACAGGGTAGCTAGCCGCAGCACCAGGTGAACCAACAAGTGCACACAGGGTATAGCTTGGCGCGGTACTGTTTGTTTGAGCTCCCAGTTCAGGCCGTAATGCTCCCTGCCGTACCAATTCTATAGTCTATAGACGCAGGTCAGCAAGTTCACGGAATAGCAAAACAAGTTTAAAGTTTAAAGTTTAAACAGCAGAACAAGTTGCAAAGTGACCTCACATTATTCATGCAGTGCTTACTTCTTATCTTATCTTTCATTATTATCTTATCCTACTCTTTATGGTAATGCCTGCTCTTATAGGTAGCTAATGCACAAAAGATAGAAGGAACATCTCGTTCCTAACAACGGGCCTAGCTCAGTTGGTAGTACTTGGTACACCGCCGATCTCTTGAAATATGAATCAGACCCAAGTTCGAATACAGATACAATCAGATGACGACCAGAATAAAACCATTGCGAATTCCCTGGGGCCGGTCAGGTCAATGATGATATCTCAAGGCCGTCGCCCTTTCTTTGCAAGTTTTTTTATTCAAAAATAAAATACAATAAATCATTGTTGAGCTGCTCGTGCACGGCTTATATTTCTTGATTGTCTAAGTTTGCTTGGCACAGCATCCCAGTGAGTTACAGTACAAAAGGGGATCGCTGCCCCCCCAAGCACTCGCAGCAGACGCATATACCTGCATGTCGATGTTCCAGTGCATGCAGGGGAAGGGTTCATCCGACCACAACGGTCCAGAGGAAAGGACTACCCCTACGAATCACAAGCCGGCGGCCATGTCAACGATCGACCATTCGCTGTCGTTCGACAGGGTAAAGTGTGTTGTGCCTTGCCCTCTCCGGTTTCGTCCCCTGCTTTTTATCCCATCCCTTCACCAGTCACTCACACACAAGGATCACTCAACCTGACTGTCAGTGAACACGAGTTCGAATCCTGATAAAATCCATCCTGATAGAAGTAATCACGTTAGCGGCTAAACCGACCCCTTCCAAAAGAACAGAATCAGTGGACCCGAATCGACCGGACTGACCTCTGCAGTTCCGCCATCCTCCTCGGGATGTCGGCTTTGCCGTCTACAACACCCGAGAGGCCCTTCGCCATTGCTACCCATTCGTCCAATTCGCTCTGCAACGCCGTGACCTTGATCTGTGCTTCTTCCGCATCTGCGATGGCCCTCTCCGCCCTCTCCGCCCTTGCCTCTGCAGCCTCAAGCTTCTCTTTGAGGAGACCTACATTTGTGTGTTGCTGCTTCAAGATCCTCACCTCCTCCATCTTCTCAGCCTGCGCAAACAAGTCGACAACCATGAGACATACGGCATCGCTCTGCTCCAGAACACTCTACACGTATCTGGACTGTATTGCAGCCCGGATTCATTCGGACAAATCCAGCATTTCGAGAACATTTTGAGTGTATCTACTATGCTGCGGACCAGATACATTGTGTGTTGTTGCTTCAAAATTCTCACCTCCTCCGTCTTCTCAGCCTGCACAAACGAGTTGACAACCATGAGGCATACGGCACCGCTATGCTCCACAACAGTCTACCTGTATCTGGACGGTCTTCCAGCCCAGATTCATTCGGGCAAATCCTACATTTGGTGAACATTCTGAGTGTGTCTGGACGACAGTATGGACCAGATACATTTGTGTTGCTGCTTCAAGATCCTCACCTCCTCCATCTTCTCAGCCTGCGCAAACAAGTTCACAGCCATGAGACATACGGCATCGCTCCGCTCCAATCTGGACGGTATTCCAGCCCAGATTCATTCGGACAAATCCAGCATTTCGAAAACATTCTGAGTGTACTGGACAATGACACGGACCGGATACATTTGTGGGTTGCTGCTTCAAGGTCCTCAAGTCCATCTTCTCAGCGTGCACAAACAAGCTGACAACCCTGAGACATATGGCATCACTCCACTATACAAGACTCCACAAGTTTGTGGACAGTATCGCGCCCCAGAGTCATTCGGACAAATCCAACATTGTGAGTGTATGATGGGGATCAAGGGGACCAGATACATTCGGGTATTGCCGCTTCAAGATCCTCACCTCCTTCATCTTCTCAGTTTGCATAAACAGGTTGACAACCGTGAGACACGTCGTTGCTCCACCACTCACCAAATGCGCAAATGGAGAACGTATCTTACAGTAAAAAGTGGAGATATACAGCCGCCATATATTTTCGTCTTCTTCACTTTGCGGTGAGTGCTGGAGCGAGGCCCTTCGTCACACACTATCCGTAAAAATGTGTTGGGCCAGAAATATAGCCTGTACACGACGTCACTGTAGAGTGGGGACCACCATTTGCTGTACGTAGAGCGAGAGGTGGTCCATATTTCATTTCACTCTTCGGAAACTATTGAGGCTAATAGGGTTCAAGGCACCCAGATATAGTCATTTTAAATCCCGCAATTCCTACACTGTAGGAAGGAATGGTGGTCCCCACTCCACATGAGGCTCAACAAATGGTGGTCCCCACTCTACAGTGTTTGCTTGGAGAGTTGAGCCCGCAATTCCTTCCTACAGTGTCACTACACATGTATGTACGACAAACAAACGCTGTCCACTCCCTGGATAGCACGTATGTGGTCCATGTGGCACACTGCATTCATACCTCGTGTACGTATGTCACACACATACCATCCACTCCCTCCGTACTATGTAATCAGCAGGGAAGGAAGTCTTATGTATCTGATCCATGTGTTGGATTATATACATACCTGGTGAGTCAATTCCTCGGTCAGCTGTTTGATCACTTCCTCGGCTTCCAAGTTCGACCTCGCTCGAACTGCATTGGCGGCAATCAGCGCCTCCGCCAGCTGAGCCTCAAGGTCACGCTTGGTTTGCACACTCTGGCAAGCATCGACAACAAAGCAGACCAAAAAAAGAAAAATCAGAGTGAGCATCCAGAGAATCATACATGGCAAATAGTTAAAACTGCTATGGACCTCGCAATTCAACATTGATGCGTGCGTTCCCTTGCCCCTCCGTGTGTTCCGCACTTCTTATTCTTCTTCTTTCTTTCTTTCTTCGTCCTTCTTCTTCGTCCTCCCGCATCCATCTGTGTGCATTCACTCGTTCTTCTGTGTGTTCCACACTTCTTCTTCTGCTTCTTTTGATACACAGTGACAGACGTCAGAGCCAACGCGAGGTGCATCATACACATTGACTCGATGCCACTGATGACATGCATCGACCCATTTCTGTGTGAGTGTGAGAGAGCGATAGAGAGAAAGAGAAAGCAAGACGGTCCATGCCTTGGAAGCACGAACTCGGTTGCAATGAAGGCCAGATTTGTGCTTGCTTCTCTCTCTCTCTCTCTCTCTCTCTCTCTCTCTCTCTCTCTCTCTCTCTCACACACACACACACACACACACACACACACACACACACACANCACACACACACACACACACACACACACACACACACACACACACACACACACACACACACACACACACAGCACAGCACAATCACACCACGACGTTCTTGGCTGAGCCTGCCCATAACCTAGGTCAGATACATTGTGCGAAGTACCATATTATCTCCTCACGCACACACACACACGCGTGTGCAGTCAGCAAAGAATGACAAACCCTGCAATAAGACATTGGATAGTCATTCAACGCTCCCCAAAAAAAAAAAAGAGCCAAAAAAAAAAAAAAAAAAAAAAAAAAAAAAAGTAAAAAAAAAAAAAAAAAAAAAAACTTTCACCAACCTCTGCAAGGGCACGCTGCATCTTTTCCATCTCCTCATGAAACAAGTTGAGCTCCGCATTGACTGCCTCCGCTCTTTGTTTTTCTGCATGGCACTTCCAGACGTGAACAGGCCAACAAGCACAATTACCATCAAACAGCCGTTCTCAGCCCAGCCAAGCCCAGTGGAAGCCAAAAGGACACCAATGGGCATAGCTCACTTCAGTCCACCAATTAACTGTTGAAATCCAGATTCAGGCCCAAGTTCGAATCCAGATGCTGGTTAGTTCCATGATGTATCTCAAGGCCATCACCCCTTTAAAAGGAAAGAAAGAAAAAAGAAAAACAAAAAAAAGAGAGTCCAAAAGAACAGTAGATGATGGTCACAGGACCAACAGAACGGATCACAAAAAGAAGTACACAGGTGCACAAAGTCACCACTAAGGGGCACACACACTACGACGTTTTCAACTGAATCCGACCCAATTTACAAACAGATTCATTCGGGACATTCCAAGTGTGTGCATGCCTGTTTAGAAGCCAGTTGACAACCGCAATGCTTTGGTGAAAGAAAAAAAACGAATAAAAAGAATAACAAGAATAGAAACCGGTTTGAAGGTTTGAACTTTGAACTTTATAGAAGTTTATACACTATCAGATTCTTTTTTTGTTGTTGTTTTTAATCAGATTTAATAATTTCGTCAAAAAATAAAAATATCAGTTTTTTTTTTAATTTTAACTTTTTTTTTTTTTTTTTTTTTACTATCAGAACTTCTCAAATATCTCTTTCCCCCCAAAAAGTGGTCGGCCCCTAAGGTTATTGTATCCATCAGGATTTGAACTCATGATTTGTTTATCAGCTGTCGGCGTGTCGCATGTATGTACCTTCGAGCCACTACCATCTTTCCCCGGACACAACGCGCCCTCATCATGAATGAATGTATACAAGCTATCTCTACAGTAACATACAGCCATGATGAAGGGGCATTGTGTTTGGGGGAAGACATTCGGCACATAGTAACATACACACTAGCGGACCGTTTAATTTATTTTAACATTTAAATAATAACTTTTAATAACCCTTCGATTTCAAATTCCACACGACTGCGTCGGGCTGTGAGGGACGAACAAAAGAATACCTCCACCTTCAGTCCAGAAGCTTTGGACTCCAACTTTGCACGCGCTTTGTTGAGTTAAGCCCACAATATTCGGTTCAAGGGAAGACGGAAGCCAGGTACAGACTTTTTTTTTTTTTTTTTTTTTTTAACCACTAGTACCTCCGAGCCTGTTTTTGCCAACCCTGTTTTGCCGAGCCTGGGTACCACTCCGTTTTCTTTCTGGTAGTCTCACGGAAAGAACCAAACAAAAAAAAAAAAGGAAGAAGAAAAGTTGCGGCCGTGAACTCAGAAAAAAAGAAAAGAAAAAAAAAACGAAACAAAGCTTTGGCCATGATTGCAGTTGTATACATTCTTGGAAGTGGCAGTGTGAGTGTGCCCTCAGTGAGGGCATCTCAGCCCCGTGGCCAGGTTGTCAGATTCGAAAAAGAGACTAGAAGGGCAAAAAAAAGGGGCACACGGATCCGGCCATGAAAATGGCTGGATACATTCCCCTTAGTACCAGTGGGATGAGTGTCACAATCCTCTGACAAAATACAGCTTGAGCAGATCACGGACGGCTTGAGCAATTCACGGATTCCCCCCTGCCTCATTCATTGGCAGGGGACTTATAAGAAACACACGAGCAAAAAAAAACAGAAAACAGTATTATCCAGAATGTGACCGCCTTACCAGTGAGGTGCATTCTGTGGAGGAAGACTCTGAGCACAGCCTCCAAGACTACCCTACCCGACAGCATTGCAGCAGTAGAGATAGCATTTTCTTTTTTTCCTTTTTCTTTCACTCGCGCGCAATATGAAAATCTGATTTATGGGACAGTGCCGACCCTGTGTCCCACCCCCGATATCTTCGGGAACTGGCAAAGCATCGTAATTTCCCAACACTGGCGGAGGTACTAGTGGTTTAATATGAACGTTGTTAATTGATAACCTATTAAGTAGTAGCATTAACCTTTGCATTTCAGATTCCACACGACTGTACCGAGCTGGAAAGATAGCTCATATAGTATATACACACGGAAAGAGAAAGAAGGTGCGATCAAAGAAGCTGTGAGGGAAGGGCTGGACAATACCTCCCCTTTCAATCGAGAAGCTTCAGACTCGAACTTCGCTCGCTCTTTGTCGAGTTCAGCCTGCAGCTTGCGCAGATCTTTCTTCGAGTCGTCAACGAGTTTCGCTACTCGCTGCTCTGCTTCAGCAGCGCGAGCCTGTGCCGCACTCAATTCAGCCTCCGTCATCGACTTGGCGTCCATCTCCTCCTGTACTCGGGACTGCAACAAGTATCAACAAAGAGCGAGCCATGAACCCTCGAGCGGGAATATCCGTAATACCGCCCACCGGAACGGCCTACAACTGGACGACCGATGAATACAGAATTCACAATTTTCTTCCAACAGTTACAAAAAACTCAAAAAAAGAAACAACCGTATTGTTCTCCGGATTCAAACACGAACTACGTACAATTTCTTTTGTATTGGTCTTCCCCCCATCCATTCCACGAGTCAGGTACCCTACTATCGTTCATTCTCAGTCAGCAAGTCAGCATTGCTGACTTTGTGGTTGCTGCGGTGAAATAAGCTCGGGTCAATTCATTGAGTGGCAGCATCAAGATCTGAGCCAAATTGAGCTCGACTCTTGCGAGAGCCGACGAAGGCCTCTAGCGAGCCTCTGGAGGCTCGCCGCAGAGTTGGAAACAAATATAGGAAACACAGCATGGTATAGACAATTTAGAGTTAGGTTTCATAAGGATAAATAAGCTCAAATTAGTTAACGCAAGTCAACTTTGGAGACTTCCATTACTCCACAGGCCGTTGTGAAATCTCCGCCAACGCGGCCTGTGTAAAGTTTGCGCCCATCTAGTTCAGTACACGCAGGACTGCAATGGGACTTGGCACGAAAGGCAAGCTACCGTGAAATCTTAAGTCACACTCACCAACACATCACCCATCACACAAACCCCGACACATCAACCAATAAATCAAATCAAATTTCTTAAAATCCTTTGCACCTGTGCTGGGAAGGTAACGAAGAACGATAATCAACGAACAAAAACAAGAACAGGAACAGGAACAGGAACAAGAGCAAAACCACAATGTTACACATCGACCAATCTGATCTACTACCTCACACAACAAGCTAAGAATGCACAGAAACATGGAATGGGTATTGTAAGCAGTAGAATGCCCTTGTCATAATGATCTGTTGAGATTCGACCCTCTGTTCCAAAAAGATTCACTTGAAAAATAATAATAATAATAATAAATAAATCAAATATTAAATGAATAAAAATCACAGAAGCATCAGTGGGTACGTTCACCTCTCTTTCCGACGAGTTGTGTTCTTAGCTCAGCTGGGATAGAGTAACAAAGTTGAACAATTTTCTAAATTGAAGGTCACAGGTTCAAATCCCCTGTAGGATGTCGAATTCTTCTTCAGGAAAGTGGCCGAGACTCGAGAGTCGAGAGGTTAAGAACAACGACAGACTGTAAATCTGTTGAAGGTTATATTAAATATATTTCCACGTAGGTTTCACTCTTGCCTCTCCCCCTTCATGGCCTTCGTACATTTTTCATTACCCGTTGAGATGGGAAGAACCATACCCCATACCCTTTTCTCTTTCACACACACGTGCTACAATCTGAATCGAACCGACGTATCAACCCTCATAGTAAATGTCTCAAACAGTCTTTTATTAGACTCCATGCAGCTATTCATTAACCATATACAATAATTGCTCCCAAGACCTTTATCTTGCACACAAACATGCTTTTGGAGTCGAGGAAGATGTGCATGTTTCGGGTTTCGGGGCTGTGTCAGCCTGGCTGCCCAAAGGCTTCCAGGGTTGTCACCCGGGGATGCCCGGGGGGCGACCCGGGGTGGGGGTTTGACACCCGGACCCCTGGCGCGGGGATTCCTGACCCCCTCCCCCACCCATTCACCCCCCCCCCTGCCCCAACCCCGCCACCCCTCCCCCTGCCCCCGCACCCCTGGCCCCGCCACCACCGGACCCCCGCGTTTTTTCGAAAATGTCACCACAGACAATTCGCATGGACAAAAACACTTCAGGCAGTACCTGGCCTCATTTGGCTTGGCAGGCCAGGCCTGTAGATATGGTGGTTTGAGCACACAAGCAAATGGTCTGCCTCGTCGGTCACTCGCTCCATAGCCCATTCACATAAGACAGGAGCAGCCAACCTCTACTGTCTTCCCCCGAATAGAACGTATGGTCATTATCGCAGTATCTAGATCGAAAATTGCCCCAAATACAGCTTTAATGACCATGAGTTCTGTTCTAGGGAAGATGGTAGGCCCTTTCCACTATCGGACAACAAGGTAACTCCAGACCTAGCCCCGAGCCTTCTACGGGAGAACCCAAGAGGAGGAGGACGTGGAGATGTGGGTGGATGAGTGTAGACCAATGTGCTCATCTCTGGCCAAGACGGCTACCTGCTCTCCAACCGGGCTCGCCGTGCGTCGAATGCCAGAAGCTTAGGGACTGAAGTAACAAAAAGCCTGCAGATTTGTGGCCCTTTAAGTTACAGTCTTACAAACATGACCCTACAAATGCAGAGCAGAAAATAGTAGCTGATTCCCTCCATTGCACACCATACAAAATTACAAACACTTTGCCTTTGCGTCTGCAGAACTGGTGTGGAATTCTAATAAAGTACCTTGCCTCTCTTAAAGCTTCCCTGACACCCCCCAGAATACATGGGGCCTTGTGTGTTTT